TTTTTTATTTTATTTATGTGTGTGTGTGTGTGTGTGTGTGTGTGTGTGTGTGTATGTGTGTGTGTGGCCAGCTCAGCCCACCAGGGGGCGGGACTGGCTGGCATGTGGTGCTGGGGGATTAAACTGTGGTCCCTGTGCTTTGCTAAGCTTGTTCCAAGTAGGTGCTTTAGACCACTGAGCCATCTCACCAGCCCATCCTGCCCAATTTTTGGAGGCAAACATTCAGATGTATCATGTAGCCCCTGGTGGCTGCTCCAGTCCTGGGACTGCCAGTCCCTCCCCAGTGTGTTCATGGCTGACCAAGCCGCCTTTCTCTGCCTGGCTGCTACTTCTCTGATTCTGTGGTCCTGGGAGTATTCTCTGTCCCCCCCCTCTCCTTTCTGCCGCTGTTAGGAGTGGAGGGGAGAATGTACACTGTGTGTGGTGAGTTCACTGGGCCCTGTCCAGCACACTGCACTGTTTTCCGTGGTGCTTCTGTAGCCTTTGTCTCAATAGTCCAGGCCTTTCTGGGGCTGCCAAGCCAAACAGTTGGTTTTGGCAGCATGTACTCCCCCCTCAACTGAAATGTTACACATTCCTCTCCAGTGAGTGGGACACAAAAATAGATCTTGGTCTCTGTTGTGGTCTTGCTGTTTTTAGAATGGACATGGCCAGTTGAGACCTGGTTCCCATATGGTCTGACTGACACCCAGCCTGGCTGGATTGAGTCCTCCTGGGCAGACCCTCCAGGCTTAGTGAGCAGTTGGGGTGAGTGGTCTGGGATGGGGAAGAGGCCCAGTGCGGAGTCCAGGAACATAAAGCAATAGAACTTGCTCCATGTGACCCACAGTGCTGTGTGCACAGAATGCGCTGGGTGTCCCCAGAGAATTAGGGAAGATGGTGCTGTCCTGCCTGCCTTTTGGGGTCCATTCTTGTTATGCATCCTGGGTCCTTCAGGTCAGGCAGTGATGTACCCATCAGGGTCTGGAAATCCTAAATAACAAACCCTAATCCTAATCCTGTGGGTACAGAGTAGGCAAGACTCCTCATTCAGCATGATTGGAGGTGGGTTGTTCTTTCTTTCTTTCTTTCTTTCTTTCTTTCTTTCTTTCTTTCTTTCTTTTTTTTGGAACTGGGGATTGAACTCAGGCCCTTGCGCTTGCCAGGCAAGCACTTATCCTACTGAGCTATCTCCCCAGACCCTAAACTATATCTTTTTAAAAAAATTTTGTGTGTGTGTGTGGCCATCTCAGCCCACCAGGGGGTGGGGCTGGCTGGCATGTGGTGCTGGGGGATTGAACTGTGGTCCCTGTGCTTTGCTAAGCTTGTTCTAAGTAGGTGCTTTAGA